TTAGACTTGCCAATTATCCGCATATTTTTTATCCTCAATATTATACTTCCATCAAGTTGAATTAAGTTGTATGATATGTTTAGCACTGTTCTGTTTACTAAAATAGTTCAACATTCAAGAAACTAAAGCTGCTTAAATAATTATCCAAAACTATCTACATCATATTGGTTTAAAAAGACAGAAAAATATCAGTACATATTATTTGCATTTATCAGATGGTATATCTTTTACAGCATCCATCAACAATTCGAACTGCTAGAGAGAAATAAAGATCACAAGTTGGGTAAATCTAATACACGTTCCAAGTTTTATTTAATTACAGCATTATGTCTGCAATTAAGTTCTCGAAATAGAAGTCAGTCTCAATTGTATGCGTGTATAATTAAGATTATTGAGCATTAACCTAAACATTTTCCATTAACTGAATTTCCAGGTTGAGCGAAGTCTGTTTGAACAGTTGAAAACCTCAAGTCAGCTTACTCATTTACATTATGGAAAATATAAACAGTTAAGAATGTATACGAGACAAAAGAAAACCTTCTCATAGCTCATGAGAAGCCACGGTTTCTATTATTTAACTGAACGTCTTAAGTTCTATTAATGAATTTTGTTAGTCATTATGCTTCTGAATTATAAAACCAAATGATGGTTTTGCAATTATATTAAATTAACACCGTTTTGTTTAATTTCTCTATCCATTTATTTCTTATTTTCGCATGACAAACTTAAAATATATGAAGATGAATCTTCATAAAATAAAAATCAAATCAAATTAAATCATTAAATCACTTAGTTGCTAAAATGATGAACTTCACTTATACTAATTAATTTATGTAAATTCTATTATGTTGTTTTTTACAAAGTAGAACTGAAAGCCTTCAATTCTAATTGCCATTTCAGCAATGTTTATTGCTTGCATAAGTGTTAAACTTTATTTGTCAAATTACTCTATCCATATCCTCTTATTGCAAATCATGTAAATGAGCTATTCAATAAAAATTGAGAATTGAATAGAATAGGCTTAAATGATGAATATTGAAATGTTCTGAAAATGAAACGAAATGTATTTTTTAAAAATCATTTTCTGGTTTTTGTATGCACTTAACTATGATGTTAATTGTAAATAGAACAAGTATGCTATTACTATTGAACAGTTTTGAAAATGAGCTTGGTCCAAGTTATTTTACTTACCGATTTAATGCGTATATTCACGTTGCAACAAGTTAATCTTAAATAATTAAAATAAGTCTCTTATTGACACATGTGCATTCTATGAGAATTGTCTTGATATTACCTTAAGTCACAAGCATTATAAGCAAAGATGGATGATGTCCAGGAGTGGAACTCGTTAGCTGGGTGTATCTGCATCCCAGAGTTGACGTTCACTCCGGGTTATCCAGATACATCCAGATGAACAGACTTAAATGGGACGAAACGCGCGTCCTGGATTCCACTCCTAGTTCTTATAATATAATCAAAACAAGGAAGCAAAGTCAACCACTCGAATAAATATCTGTATAGCGTACTTCTAAAGACAGTATTAATTTATTGTTCGAGGTGATGATTATACTGAAATACTTCTTATCGGCTAGCACTGATAAAATCAATTTTAATACGAAAAAAAACATGCGCCTTTCATTCCAAAAGCTACTTTTACTTAAACATTAACCGGGAATCGTATATAGCTATTAGCCGTATTCTTCATTAAATTTAAACAGGTTGATCTATAGCTAGGTTGAAAACCTCAACGGACCAGTAGCAATTTTATTAGTAACCTTGCTTTTGTACCTCTTTAGTAATGTAAAACACTATCTTTTCACCTAAGGTTGTCAGGATTGAGCAAACTGGAAAAAGACCGACAACTATACTATGAAATATATATACCAGTCATCCAACACATAGAGAATTATGTAGTTACAATAATGCACGAAAATGATTTGCTCTTTTTAGTGAATTCACTTAGTTATTTTGAACTGGTTTCTGAATTTCGTATTAACTTGCCATATAAGTAAAACATGCATATATATTTATATTTCTTGAAACAAATTGTGATTACGATTGAAAGTCAAAAGAAACAGTTCTATATGGAATAAATAGAATCCTTGGCGAGACTATAATTTATGGATGACCTTTGAGCGACGCTAAAGTGACCATGAGAATGTCCACCTAATAACTAGGACTAAATAAGAGTTATAAACCAGTGTGCGAAATAAGAATTATGATTTACAGTTAATTGTTAGGATTAGGAATTAAATATAAGGTTTTCATCACGAACTGACATTGGCGAAAATGCCGAAACTCAATTTATCCAAATAGATAAGTGAATTTCGCGCCAAAATCCGAGATCTGTTATCTTATACCTGATTGGTTGGTCCATAAATTATAGTGTCGCCGAATCCCCTATAGGAACACTAAATTATTATAAGATTAGATTTAGGCTTGTTATATCCACGCATAAGATGGATTTAATAGTGTATTGATAAACATTTATACGTAAGAAATAACTATTTAAATGATAAAAATGAATTAGTTAATTCGTCTGAAATTTAGAGCATGAGTAAATCATCTAAGTGGATTTTTGTTAAGAAAAAAGAAACTAAAAAAGAAAAACTTATCAGGAAAATAAAAATAAATTGGATAAATGGTTATGAACATAAAAATAAAACGAATTATCCTCTCTACCAACCATCTGTTCAAATCAATTTTATTTTTTTGCATTTGAACTAATGGAAAAGAAAAGTCGATAAACAGAGATCAATCGGTTAATGTTTTATTTTAAAATAATTAATTTTTGTGTTTCTAACCGGAAACGATTTATTATTTTGTTTAATGTCTTAAATAGTAAAAGGTAATTAATATTGATCAGTTTTTGGTTGAAATAAAATGAAAGTTTAGTATACATCAGTCGGTGATTTCTAAACTCTGACAAAGTCAACAGTACTATTCACTTATATTATTGTTTCACTGTACTTACCAATATTTCAGTATCCTGTTAATTAGGCAGTTGTTGAGATAGCAATGCTAATTTATCTGACTACTTAAGATATAATAATGGAACTAATTCATGAAATAATTATTAAATCTTTTGTACATCTATTCTTGGAAAATTCTAATTATCATAGTTAAAAGTTATAAAATCATTATGTTAAAACGTTTCACAATCAGCTGTTCATGGACAATGTAAGAGGGTGAGATTGTGTATGGCTTCAACTGACCATCCCTCAGAGCAACACAGGAGAAAATTAATAGTATGAAATTTAGATCTTCAACATTTTAATGCTATACATTTGAGGACATGAGTTTTGACGGAAAAAGAGAATATCAACCCAGAATTTTGTTATTCATCATGTAACATAAGACGGATATTCTTCATGATATGAGATTTTTTCAATATCTTCACAGACATTCGTGGCTTTATTGGTTGCTTTCCCAAACAATAAACATTTGTGTTGTGTTCTACCAAACTCGCTATTTGATACTTCATTCCGCACTTCCTGTATACCTTGGTACCAGTGTCACTGATTCCTCGTACTGTATTAAAATTATTTTATTTACTAAAATGAGATGAATTCAAACATGCATTCATTTCCAGTTCTCGAACACAAGATAATTTGTTTAACCACAATTTAATGTTAATATATAGCTTCTACTTTTCGGAAACGGTATGCATAGAATTTGCATAAAACGAACAATCTATTCTAATTTAGTAATAAGTACTAAACAGTATGATTGAAACCTTAATAATTCTTATGTGGGGAACATGATTAAAAGCACAGAAACTGTTTTAAGTTCCAGAATACTTAGCTAAATACGTCTAGTATTTAAACTGTTTCTGAGAAGGTGTGATTGAAACTAATTTCGTTGGATTTTTCCTCGACATACATTGTTACGATAAAATTATAATTTGTTCACAAGTTAGTGTCGAAAATATTTATGCGCTTTTACTTAATGCTTATTCCAGTCAGTCAGACGGTGATCTCATTATTCACATAAATTAAACGTTCTGAATAAATTCAGTAATAAAAGCGCCCCAAATCGTGGTCAACATTAGGTCATTCATTGTCGAAACCCACTGATTTTTAATGCCTGCAATACCAGAAAATTTCAATATGAAAATCACTGGTTCAATCTTATTGATTGTATAAAATAATTGTCTCATGTATCATTAACCCGTGCTCATGTAAACTCAAAAAACTTAAATTTTTACATTGCAGTGTCTGTTCTTGAAAATTTAGTATTTAAGATGACTCTTCACTAGTAACCAAGTAACTGACTCATTATTACTGTGAAAAATATGAACATTTCGCTTCCACTTCTCGTTTTTTATTGTATTAAAACGACATAGATTGTAAGAGCCTCATATTTAAATTGTATGTATACGCCTTTCATCAATAACATCATCATTTCCACACCACACCTTTAGGTTATTCAACATTAATACTTTTTCTTAACACAAACGTGCACACGTATAAAAAACATTTAACATGTTCAATCATGTCATTTATTACAAGTATAAGCAGTGCACAGAAGAGAAACACTTCATTGATTTTATCTTTTTTAAACTTCTATCTTGGTTACTCCTTAAAACAAAACAAAATAAATACACAATAGTTAATGATCTAGTGCACACTTATTATTTGTTATCATGGTTTATTACTAAGCATGTTTATATGTTTCATTCATGAATTGTCTGAAGAACGATTAGTAAATGTTCATTAATTATTAAGTTATACATTTTTATTGTTCTTATTTTTCAAAAGAGAAAGTAAGAAATGAAAACAGAGTTCATTTTCATTTCACATTAAAATCGGTTTAACTCTTCATCTTTATTTTTTAAACACAAAACGTTTTACAATTTTTCATTATACAGAATATGAAAATAATTCAGTTATCTATTAAATTTAGTTAAATCGGTTAGCGAAATATTTGAATGAAATGATGAACTTTTATGTCAGTGATGGAGGCTTACGATCTCAGGTTCCAACAATATCGTATTAACAAACCTTAATGTTTAGATTTTAAAATTGAGAAAGATAGGACGAAGATATCGACGAAGCAATTATATTATTCATTATATAGTAATGCGTTTTGTATATTTCCAACCTCAAGTTTCAGCTGAATTATTTCGACACCAACTCTACTTAGTGTTAACAAAAGTAATATCTACAGAAGTAAAGCTTAAGAAAATAGTTATCATTATTAGATACTTTGAACAGGTTTGTTTCAATCCTTACATTAGCTAGTAACCAATAAACAGTTTTAATAAAATAGTGTACAGCCCTATACTAAGTATCTTTTTGAATTGCTCTCAACTATACTAAGATAGCATGAGTCGATTGTTTTATGGGCTTTAGCCTATTAAATCTGTATAAAATACATTTGATCAACAGTAAGATTTAGATCATTACACTGAAATCGTGAATTGATTTTATTTAGATCACAATCTAAAGCTTAGAATCATTGGACGGACTCAGCAGTGCGCGTCCACGGCCTCGCGCTAACGCTTAACATCTAGACCATTGAATTGATATCCAACAGTATTAACTTTTTACTTTGATCAGTTCACAAAATTGCATAACCATCTTCCACTGCCCTTGGTGGGTAAATGTCTCATGGTCGATACGGTTTAGCTCCACTCGTCACAGTCTCTCACTAGGACTTCATAAAATTCCTCTCAATGATAGTCACTAGTAAGCACATGGTCTAGAGTTTAAATGTTCGGACACGAGATAGAAGATTCTAGGTCCTGTTCGCAAGGGTAGGGTTGTGGATTCGTGCTGCTGAAGACTCATATACTAGGATGAAACGGCCGTCCAATGATTCTAGGTTTTCAGTGGTAGTCTAACTTAAATCAGATCGTGCATAACCCTAGATTTGGTTCCAAAAGATAACAGCTTCCGAATTAAAAACTATATCCATTTAGGTAACTGGATCATATAAATTAAATACATGTAGCTATCTGACATAATTAGCGCCCATACATAAAGATAGATTATCTTAGAAAAAGCATAGAATTTTATCAATTTTCGATAAATAAAAACGATTCTTTATTTTACATTATATAGTGTAAGTATTAGAAATTGGTGCGTGAAATAGTATCCCAAATATATAAGTTAAAAACACTACAACTCTTTTGTTTAATTTACGGATTTTCTGAAAATATAAAAAACCTAATGTTTATCCTACCAACAGTTTCTAAGCCATTTGCATTAAGATGTGTCCCATTAGAAGTATTGACGAGAATCCTTATCCTGTCAATCGTCTGGTCCGTTAATCAAATACATGTACTAACAAAGGAAAAAATAACAATATTTTAGAAAAGTAAACGTTTCTCAACAAAAAATAAGTATTATTTGTCTAAGACTTTCTGTTTTGCTGTCTCTTCATTTCTAATTTTCCGGAACTACTTTGTTCTTCGTTTTTCTTCTGGCTTTTGCAACACTTTTTCGCTATTTATCTATCATTTCTTTTTCACCACATCTCTTAACGTATTTTCATCCTGTAAATAAACTGACAGGTAAATTTAACTCAGTAGCTGAGTTGACAGATCAAAAATGCTGGAAACGTAGTAATGGTCATTTTTGAAGTCGTATATAAGGAAAAAATAAAACGGAACTTAAAAATAAATAATTAAAATAGAAGACAAAAGTTAAGGGTTGGGGGAGGTACAGTCATAAGGAAGACAATATCACTCTGACTGCTAATAATCCCATGAACATATTGTCATTTCAATAGATCATACAAGAAATCAAGTAATGAGAATGAAGTGATGTAATTGTTTTTTTAAAAAAAAGTAATGCATCATAGAAAAGGATCTAGACAAGTTTTCACAAACAAGTTTTATTTTAAACTTAATATAGTTATGCGATTACACAATCATTTAAATAAAAGATGAAGAGAAATGAGCGTCAAACCAAAATATCTAGGCAACTGTATAAAAGATTTAACAAAGTAATATGGGCTGGAAGATAAAAATTTACTCTTAGACAGTGCTAAAAACGGGCAAATAAAAAACAGTCTCATAACTAGATTTTCTGTCATGGTTGTCAAACATTTTGTTGTATGATATGAATTAGCGAAAATAGGATGAAAAAAACAGGGAGAACAATCACAAAACGACAATTTGACAATAACGGAAACGTTTAGTACAGTAATATCAAATATACACATAGTTAGAGTTTAAAATAAGTCTACTGTATTGGTAGAAGGGAAGATATTTAAACTTGTTTTACATCAATTCACACAAATTTATATTATTTAAAATAAATAAAAACAAAATAAGAACACATTCGTTATATATGTATATTGAACATACAATAACCGTCATTGTTATTCGTGATGAAAATTATCGATATAACTGAGAATAACAACAAAGATATTAGTCAGTATGCATGATGTAGATTCGAGTTGATAGTACAGTCAAAAATTCCCACCTATAATAACTCTGACAATTTACTCTTGTGTCATGGATAGTGTCTATGAAAAAAACCATATCAAAATATTTTTCTTTTAACATAGCAGTCTCTATTTTCCCTATCCTATGCAGTAGTAATAAAAACTATAATAATACAAGTTCTGAGCAAAGTTTCGTAGAAAATAAAAGCATAACAAGTAACTATAAGGGATGTTTGAGTAAGTCAATTTAATTTACATGTAGTACACTAAGAGAAGACAAATGAACTGGTTAGATATTAAGCATTTGCATTTGTGATACGAAAGCACATAAACTGTTTTTGATTATTTAATGAAAGCCTGCTGGTAAATTAAAAATCACAATAATTCACAGCTGCTATTTGTCATGGATATAAGCAGATTTTGTATTATTTGCAACAATGACGTCATCTATTTATCGAAAAAGCAAAATAAAGCAAAATATTTAGTATAACAAATAGTTATATATTAACTGTTTCCACGATTGACAGTATTAATCAATTCTGTGAATTTAAAAGCTTTAACAAATGCAAATAATTGGTGTTCATTTATCTACAATTAATAATCAGGACAATAACAAAGGAGTTATTTCACAGGTTTTGTGCTTAAACATTGAATAGTTTGCCATTATACAACAATAACAGATTTACAGGGCACAAATAAGCATAACTCTACGAATGCAATCGTCTAATACTTTTTGTGTCTAAAATATGGCGAATCACAAAAACACTTTTCTATGTAAAGACGTTTTACATAAGAATATCAAATACTTGTTTGTAGGAAGATATTTTTCTCATGACTGTAAACTATCATTTTATCATGTAAGCCAATTTGTACCAACGGTCCAGACAAACCCTATTACTAATTTACATTGTTTAACTAAGAATAAATTACAATAATAATCGTTGTAACAATAACGTGGAGCCAACAGTAGTATTCGAGGTCTCTGAACGAAACAACTAAAACAAGTTAACTTGATATGATAACCCAATGCAATTCTTTTTCGCTCTTATTTTACTTATTTCTTACTACAAAAACAATTCACACTTTTCATAAGTAGACCCACGAATATAAACATAAAAGGCCGTCAATGCATCTTTTTTGAACATGTAAAAATGAGTTCCATCTAGAGAATGAAAAGTAAAATTCAATAAATTCAATGAGAAAAATTCCCAAAAAAGGCCAAGAAATGAATAAACAACTTACTCATTGATTACTGTCTTAGGTATGGATGCATTCGAGAAACTGAGGATGATGTGGCTTGCAAGGAACGTAATTTAAGTGGTCCTACAAAACATGGTAGGTTGACATTTTTAAATAATACGCACGTAACAAACGTAAATAAATAATTTGGAAAATTATTTCAAAAGTATAATTTCCCGTACTTATCAATGCTGTTATTTGCATAAAGCTTAATAAGTACCTTCTATAGAATATTACAGTGTCAAATAAAAAGATCCTAGCCAGTAGCATGTATAAAACAGTTACGTGTGAATTAAATCCACTACTTTATGTACACATTACATCTCTGATCACTTAATTTCCAGTAATTCAACCTCTATTTCTAACAGTTTTACAATTACTTACAATGCCTTCGATGTTGCTATATTTCTTATATCGTCTTCTCTGATTCTATCATGTTGATATCTACTATGATATTTCGCATCTGGAAACAACTTCCAATTCCTTAGACAATGTGATTTTTGAATTAATGACCTTAACTTACAATCCATTGTATAAACAACTTCAGTTTTGTATAAAAATTTTCGTCCCCAGTTTTAACTGTAACAGTAACAATTGGTCTTAAGAAAATTTCATCTATTCCAACTGAGGTCCTAACAACTGCTTATTGACTTAAACATCAGATATAACTGGCATTTTATTATGAGTTATTGACTACACGATGAAATCTGAAGTATTTGAACGATAACTGTATGTAAAAAAAGTTAAATTATTCAAGCAAAACTCTATAATGAACGTATTTTATAAAGAACAACTGATCACCTTAAACTTGTTCCTACTCAGATAACACACTTGTACATCAAAGTATAGGGCAAAATAAACAATTACATACAGTATGACTTATTTGCATGGAATCATATCCGAAGGTCACTGAACATCCAATAGCTTCTGCTCGTTATGATACTTGAACACTTAGTCAATAACCCAATCTTAATCCATTGTTCAATAATAGACTGTGATCTGTTTATAATAATTATAAATACAATTGTGAAGCTTCAAAAAATTATAGAGTCAAAAACGTGGTTTTCTTTGTTCTAGTATTATTTCCATTACTAAATGAATTTGCTGTTTGCTTAATAAGTCGCTCAGATTTATTAACACTAATAATAGGTGTATTATTTTCACTAGGTTTGTTCATGACTTTATACAAGTTCTGTAAACATTTTTTCTGTTAAGGTTGGTATGTATTTGAAATTACTGACAAAACCAGAAGTTACTTCTGGAGTTAACCTGTCAAATGTAAGAGACTATAACCCTATTCTTATACTAAACAACGGTACTAATCTACGAAATAATTGGGAACTAGCATATCCGACTTATACACATTCTCAGCAACTTATATCTGTAAAGTATAACATTGAACTGAGACAAATATTGAGAACCTTGAAGTTTACAAAGTGCATTGGCAAAAGCTTTATATAATTTTAAGAACATGTTTTAATAGATTATATTATCTTTAAGGAAGTAAGTTTAAACTTAAAACTACCTGAACCAGTTTCTTGTGTATTTGGTGCGTTGTTGAATTCCAGAATATTTACAGCATCTGCAAGTGATGTATGTGAAGTGATTGGGTAACTATGAGCACCTGATACAGGATTATTCACATTACCATTGCATAACTGTAAATTTGAATTACTTGCACCAATACCTCCTGTTCCACTTCCACTAAGGAGAGCAGCTGCAACAGCAGCTAACTGATCATGGCCTTTAAATGAACAAAATAATACGTGTAAAAAGATTTCAAGATTACTTGTACTCATATCAGTAAGAAATATAACTTTTAAGTTGCCATATCCTTAACGGTGAATCGGAAACATAGTCAACTATATTACGCAAATAATGTATAATTTATTTGCTTCTATATAATAGTGAGTGATGAAGTGTTTATTCTTTTGTACGATGTTCTTAACCACTAAAACCAAACCTTTACTTATTGTTTTTATAAGGTTATTAATAGAAACGTTATGATTTCATTAGTAATGACTATACCCAGATATTATCTGACATCTTTATATTTTGCAAAAGTAAGCAACTGTAGTATAATGTGAATTATTTTATGGGAATTAAGTATGGTTCGATTCGACAAAGTTGACCTTAAATATCAAATTTAATCTTGAAAAGCGAAACAGTACAAAATTGTACCCTCTGATAGCTTAAAGAAGCCAAAATGTGAACTTTCTTATTTAATTGTTAAAAATTAATTGGAGAAAATAAATCTGGATAATGTGAGTGAATTATATCACAACACTTCCCCATCTTGACTAAGTGACACCAATAGACTAGCTTTCGCCCACATTATAAGCCCTTTTGGTAATGTTATTAACCATCAGGATGTACTAAAATTCTGTTTACATGTATTCACGATTTATATGAACAGCCTAGATCGCAGACTTTATCAGGAATCGAAATTATGAAGTTTGAGTTTCACGGTCGGTAAATATTGTATGGTGATCTGGCCATCACTGAACTTAGGTAAATAGACAAAATTGATTCATTTTTCCATCAACTTACTGGCTGCATGCAACGTAGAACCAATCGGCAAGGATAAACCAGAAAGTCCATTCCCAGTAATACCGCCAGCGATTTGGCTTAAAGGAAGAGTTAGATTAAGTTGCCCATTATTTGTAGCTGATCCTGTACTGACGGCTGCAGATAAAGCTGCATTTGCCGTCAAAGGATATAAAAGTCCGGATATATTATTATTTGGTAAATACGTAGATAAATTCGCTGAGCTAAAAGATGGGATAGAATGAGATAATTGATTATTTGGAATGGAATGTATTGAATTAGCTTGAGATAATGCAGAATTCACTGTTCCAGGAAGTAAACAGTTTGTTGCCAGTGATACAGGAAGAACCTGAGATTGAATCTGAGGTAAAATATTAGTTGAAGAATATTTATTTGATGGTAATATTTGAGCTGCAGCTGCTGCAGCTGCGGCTGCTGCAGCCGCTTGATGATTTAATACAGTAAGTGACTGATGTTGTAATATGAGCTGTTGGTGTTGTTGAACTTGTTGAATATGTGCTTGCTGACGATCTTTATCTGAAGTTAAAAGCAAAATGTTATCTAATAAATCTGTCACTCTAGGTATACACATAATTAATTAAACCTGTTAAATTAGACACACGAAGTGACTTCACCAAAATTGTGTTTTTACAACACCAACGAAAAGAGTCAGAAAAGAAGAAACAATTATAAAATAAGCATCAGGGTAAAAAGGTAAGGCAGCGGTTTGAAAACATTCAACACATGCAAGAAACCTCCAATCATCAGGTTAGTTTTGGTCACCTATATCAAATAAATCACCATACATACAAACATCGTGAAAATGATATTGATGAATGTTTAATTAAATTAAAAATGACTCTGTTGTACGTCTACATATTTTACACTTGTGATTATAATTCATGTACTTTTATCTGGTTTTAATTATTCTTAAAACTACACCGCATTATTGGTGTTTTTCAAAACAACAAAATACCATTGGTTTCCATAAATAGTAAAGAGAAAGCGTAACCATTTTAATTAGCTATGAAATAGTAAAGTTTTTGAATAAAATTCTTCAATGATAAATTTTTTTATGTTGAAATTACAGGAAGACATAATGAGCAAATAATAAGGTATTTGTTAAACTCTTTAACAGCATTTCAAAGAATCTATAACAAAAAAGTTAATTAGCTGTTTTTTACTGACGTACATTAGCATAATAATTACTACTGGAATTAACCATGGGCTTAACTAATTGAAGAAAATTTGTGAATTAATTTAAGCTAGTATAACCATTCAATAGGGAAACTATTTGAGCAGATGATCTATCATCATAAGAAACCAATATTACGAATTGTCATCTAGTTACACAACACATCTTTTCGAAATTCACATGATTCGATCAAGCAGTGAAGTGTAAAAATAAATTACAGTCTTTAAACATGGAGTTGTATCATGCCATTTTCAGTAGCTACTAAATGAAGTCTAAATAAATTAAGTTAAAATTATACTAAAACATACATCAATAATACAAATAAAACGAAAAATCCAGCTGCAAGTTTTTAGTGTCGCTTGTTAATGACAAGTAAAGCAATTATCTCTTTGTACAACAATGTTCATCTCTGTTCACTTCATTATCTTAGATCATAGATAAAAGCATAAATCAAGACAAGCTCACAATTAGAAATGCTACACAGATTCATGATTTATTCCACATTAACAGAGTATCATTTTTTGTGTCATTAACTACTCAATCGAAAAATTTACAAAACGTTTATAAAAATGTATTTTGTTCTGTCATTTACACACACAGATAAGTTGTTACAACAATTTTAACATCATATAATTCGTTTCAACCAAGCTTTCGGAATTGAAATGAAAATTCAACTAATTTACCAAATTACCTAATTACTACCGCTGTTAACTGCAGACATAGAAAATGGTTTATTTCATTTTTTTCCTATAACAGGAACCCTAGGGTTTAATCATAGTTTCAACTTCATTTTCTTGACTAAACGTTCTATTTTACTAGTGATGATATACTGATTTGTTTTCATTAAGTTCACTTTTTGGATAGATTTGGAAATTCCATTCAGTTTTTACTAAACAAGTCATTTACTAGATACTTTCTTTAAACAGTTTTACCTTTTTATAAATATCAAGTACTTAACAGTTTGTGTGATATTATAGTCAAATGGATGTTATACAGTGTCGTTCTTTATATCATTTCTAACAAGACCACATTCCATATTTCCTTTAATTATTCAAAACTTAAAGGAAATACTTAACTAGAAATACATCGTTTCCCATAGAATCATAGATTCTTACGCAAACCATCTTTCTAAACTATCAATTGTCTCAAAATTGTTCACTGAAATATGATCCAAAGCCTATTACTATTAAGATTATGGTCTCGTAGTTAAGTCCATTGACTAATGCAGTACACATACTCAATGTGAAACTTAATCAGCTTTACTGGAATCATTTTCAGTAGCTAATTTTGGGTCAGATATCGATATTAGAATTATGTGTTGTTTTGTATAATTTCAAAATCACCTTAGACTTATCCAGAAGCATGACTTATTTAGATGTATATATATGTTGTAGGCGAAATGAAATTAGTTGCACAGTTGTTTTACATCCTTGTTTAAACTAATATCATATAGTAAATGTTGAAATTATATTTGAATAAATTCAACAACAAAAATTCAAGTAATTCCAATCATCGTTCATTTTCCGTGAAGTTCGGACTAGGTTGCCGGGTGAATCGTTGGAACTATTTGAATCTTAATCGGTAGGACTGATCAAATATAATATCTCTTTTCCACGTCTTTTATACACTCAGTGTTTAATTTTTGTCAAAATATTCATTCACTTTCGATGAATATTAGTATAAATAATATGACCTAAGCATTAATAACGATCACCTACTTATAAACAGTTGATGATATGCGCAACTTTATGCAGAGAATAAATCACCAACAATCACCCAACAATCGAAATTTTCAAGCGTCAATAGAAAAAACCCCGTAATTAGATATTCTATCACAAACAATAAGTATCATTTTTAGACATGGACATCGTCATCTCGACTACGCTGTTGGAAACAAGCGCTTATACACTTTAAATAAATTGAAAAGATTGTTCGCTAATTATCAGGATTATAACTGAGCGGCGGGTACGTGGGTCGGCTGCGAAACATTATTCTAAAGCGAACTTTTCTGTTATTTTTTAAGCTGATGCCAATACAGAATGAATGTTATTGTCGAACAACAGAAATCTTCACAAGCTGCAAAAATAAACACTAATCAGTACCACCCTGGTAACCAACTTCTAGATAGATTCCCCAAAGTTGCATTGGGTAATTTCATTTAGAATGAGTTAATCAGTGGCCATAAGCTTTAGGTGATTATCATATAATGTTAAATGACTGACGTTGAAAAATGATAACAATTTATTACTAAAGAATAACCCTATCCCTTAACGTGAAGATTTCGAATTCAGGTCTTTGTATTTTCATGAGTGCCCACTACTAGATAATCTCAGTCGTTCTTCAGCTTATTTCAATTTTACCACTAGTTAGACAAAATCAAATAAAACACGAAGTGGAATCACATTACTATCGTACAAACAATTCTTTGAGATTCAATGTAAAAACCTACTTTCCGAATATATTTACATTTTTGAAATTAAAAATACTGATGAAAGGAAAGTGATCTGTGGTTCATAATGACTAGTAGAATAATAAATCACCAGATATCAAATATTATTCAAGGTAACACAAACTTTCATTGGAATCTAACAAGACTAAAAAACTACTCCATGTTCATCTGCAAACAAATGTGTGAATCATAAATACAAAACTACTTTATTTTATTGTTACCTTTAAAAGAGAATTTCGTCTGAAGCATTTTGAACTGTGAAAATATGTCGCTTAGTGATTGTATAAACTGAATAAATGAAAATGTTTTTGTAAACTAACGGGTTATGGTTCGTCTTATGGGCTGCACACTTCATTTTAATTTATAAGCACATCAAAACTTAAGATAAATAGTATAATTTCAAGTGGATTGTGAATAAAGTTTGCAAATTATGTTCACTATTCAAATGATTTGCACTCAGTAGAAAAATGTCCAATATATATTTACTTCATAGATGATAAGTTGGCTAATTCTAGAATCACTAAAATAAGAACTTGTGTCATTTGACAACTAACTACCAACTTTATGTATTTTAAGTACTTCTTAGAGTTTTTCTTTGTTTGGATCAAGTTTGTAAACTTTTTGAAATCAAATATTATTTTTTAGTACAACGAACCATGAACATTTTAAAGTGTAGAATTGGGTCAATGTCATATCTGTCATATTCACAAATACAGCAATGAACAACAAACACAAGTTTAATGAGTTAAGTTTCTCCGAATTTATATGTGTGATTAAAAATTTTTTGAACAGTTGAACTATTAAAATTGAGAGTTTAAATGTGTTAGTCATATACAACCGGTATTAAATCATTTTTATTTTTTTGGTCGGAAAGAGGGAGTTCAAAAAATTATTCTCCTTATAATATCATATTTCGTGTTGTTTGATCTGATAAGCACATGAATATTTTCATAGTTCGAATTACAAACTGATACTAGTTAAACAACCATTGAAAACGTAGAGTCACTGGATGGCATTTTCGTCTTATAAAGGAACTCCTTAGCAGTGGACATGCATGATCTTGTGTGTAAGAGTCAAACCCAGGACCTTCGGTCTTGCATGCGAATGCTTAACCTCTAGATCTTTGAGCTAGTATCCAACGGTGTTATTGTCTAACTTCAGTCAATCACGGGCTGAATTCTCGGATTTGGAGTTGTGAATGTGCACTACTGAGGAGTCCCACACTAAGAAAAGTCTATTATTGGTATAGCTAAGATCTGTTCGTGTCTAAACTATGAAAATTAATATTTATCAAACAGCGGTAGCAGGATTTTGAAGATCGGAATAAGAATAAAATAAGAGAAATGAAAACTGCTTCATACTAACTAATAAGAAATTGAGAATTCTTGAATTTAAATCTTCACATTTTCATATTCTCATCTCTATTAATTTATACTGTATGTTGCAATCGTATTCGAACATATAATGAGATCTCAGTTCATTATTCTTAAAAATAAGAGTAGAAGAGACATCAGTTGAAGGGCTCGAGAATATATATTAGCTTTGAATAGCCAGCTTGGGTTTTAATGGAATTTGCAAACCCCACAAAAAAACAATTTTTGAACTACGAGAATGAAAACACTTCAATCTGATAAAGTCTTAAATAAATACGGACAAAATTATAAACGAAAACCTGAATCAATGTCAACAGTCCGCTAACGAACTATAACTTTATCTGACTTCAATGATCACCTTTAAATTACTAAGAAGCCCTATGAAATCTGAGATACTTACGACTACTTAATGATTCCGACCTTTGGAAACTGAACACTCTACTGAAATCAAGTTTGATCAATAACCAGTACCTAATCATTAAGTATGAAGCATTTTGATATGATCAAGTAGGTATGTCAA